ATAACTGGAAATAAAAGGACAGAATACCAAATAAATATATGTAAAATAAAAGCACGATGCGTAACTGGAAATAAAAGGACAGAATACCAAATAAATATATGTAAACTAAAAGCACGATGCGTAACTGGAAATAAAAGGACAGAATACCAAATAAATATATGTAAACTAAAAGCACCATGCGTAACTGGAAATAAAGAACAGAATACCAAATAAATATACATAAACTAAAAGCACCATGCGTAACTGGAAATAAAAGGACAGAATACCAAATAAATATATGTAAACTAAAAGCACCATGCGTAACTGGAAATAAAAGGACAGAATACCAAATAACCCGCGACCCTCAGATTGCGAATCGAGTGCCTTAACCACCTGGCCATGCCGGGCCTAGCTCTTTTAATAAAAGGATCAATCTTTGGAAACCATGTTGTCATACGTACACAATAAAAAGAGGGTTGCCGCATGAGAAGAACTGTTATAATTGACAGATGCATCAGTGCAGAGTTGTCCAATCCAGATGAAGACCCTGGTCCATACGAAATAATCAAGAAGCAAATGATACATGGTCCCTGTGGACCACTTACTTATAATTCTCCATGTATTAGAGGGGCAAATGCCTAAATGTTTATTCAAAGACACTCGGACTGGCTATCCACTCTACAGACATACCTGGTGATGGTGGGTTTACTGCAAAATGGTTAGAGTGGACAATAAATGAGTGGTTCCATACAATTCCTTACTTTGCACAGCTTTCAATGCTGACATAAATGTAGAATTGTGCAATTCTGTCAAATCTATTAAATATGTCTGCAAGTACATAAACAAGAGATCACATCAGGCTGCATGTAGCATTGTAAAGGAAGTAGCCCAATATCTATTTGGACGATACGTTTTTAGCAATGAGGCTTTGTGGAGAATATTCAACATGAATGCTATCCAATAGTAATCCATCTAGAAGAAACAATTCAACAAAATCCACCAAACACTTGCAGCCTTTACCAGGAGAATGACTTTGCCAAAATATTACACTAATATGTCCAAGGTGCTGATGAGGATGGTCATCCCAAAATTAAGACAAGTGATGCCTTAGACAGTGTACATTGTGCACCCAAATAATGACTTCTTCTACACCATGTTCATCATTCCAGGACTTTACAACAGTGAATGGACAAGAATGTGCAAAATACAGGAAAGCCTGCTACCAAAGAGGTCTCCTGGATGATGATGCTCATTGCAGGAAGCTGCAGCTACACAATCGTCTTTAAAACTCTGAAACCTTTTTGCTATAATGATAGTCGCAAAGAGCGTTATTACAAAGATGTCCTTTAACAAATATGCTGAGAAAATCGTTTAGTTGATATTCAATACAGAGATGTTATTTTCAACAAGTCATTGAGTTTCTTGAAAGATAAAGTGAAATCAATTGTTGGAAAAAGTCTTGCACATTTTTTGGTCTTCCAACACCCAATCTAAATGAAGAAATCTGCCTCAATCGAGACTTATTGTGAGAGACAAATTACAGTTGGAAGCCTTTGATAAGATCCTTCAAAATGTCCAACATGACAAGGGTGGAATTATATTTCTTGATGCTCCAGGTGGCACAGGGAAAATATTTCTTATCAATCTTGTTTTAGCAAAGGTAAAACACCAGGGAAATATTGCGCTTGCTGTTGCCTCATCAGATATTACAGCAACTTTGCTGGAGGTTAGGTGAATTGCAAACTCATCTTTTAAACTGCCACTGAATGTTGCTCACACAGAAAATCCACTTTGCAACATCAAGAAGGCTCAGGAGTGACCAAAAATGTTATTTAATTGTTTAGGATGAATGTATCATGCCACACAAGCTTGCATTTAAAGCCCTGGATAGGACATTGGAAGGCAACAACAAACTGATAGGAGGTATTACTCTTGTGGTGTTAGGAGATCTTCAACAGACTCTACCAGTGATTCCCTGTGGTACTCCAGCAGATGAACTGAAAGCCTGCCTGAAATCATCCTACCTGTGGGGACAAGTAGAAAAATTGAGCCTGATAACAAATATGTGAGTTCATCTACAAAGTGATGGAGCAGCAGTGAACTTCGCAGATGGTCAAATTGTCACACCTTCCAGCTGTGGTAGCATAGTACAAACAGATAATAAAAGGATCTATCCAAACATTGAACATCATTATAAAGATCACAAGTGGCTATGTAAGCAAGCTATTCTGGCACCCAAAAATGATGCTGTCAACCTGATCAATAATCAATTACTGGTACAACCACCAGGAATGTGATGTTGTCTATAAGTCTGTTGACACTGTAATGAACCAAGATCAAGCAGTACAATTTCCTACTGAATTTCTGAACTCTTTAGAACCACCAGGATTGCCTCCGTACAACTTGGTGTTAAAAGAGGAAGCACCAATAATGCTGCTGAGAAATTTGGATACATAGTACCAAACTTACAATTAAGAATCTTATGCCTAATGTTATCAAAGCTACAATCATCACTGGGAAAACTAAAGGAGAAAATGTACATATTCCACTAATTATTACAGACATATCATTTGAATTCAAGTGCCTACAATTCCCAGTAAGGCTTAGTTTTGCTATGTCTATATACAAATCACAAGGGCAGTCACTAAAGATGGTAGGTCTAAACCTTCAATCTCGGACAACTTCACGTTGGCTGTTCAAAAGTTGGATCAAGTAAAAATGTATTTATTCTGGCACCATCTGGAATGACGGCTAATGTTGTATAACCTCAAGCATTACAGTAAATCCTTGTTGAGCATAAATACAACTTTGTAAAACCCGGAATGACAGCTAATGTTGTATAACCTCAAGCATTACATTAAATCCTTGTTGAGCATAAATACAACTTTGTAAAACCCAGAATGACAGCTAATGTTGTATATCCACAAGCATTACAGTAAATCCTTGTTGAACATAAATACAACTTTGTAAAACAAACTTATTACCTATATATATCTGTCAAAAAATGTGAGATCTATACTATGAAAAGCTAAATGTGTTTCAAATAAAAGTCTACTTAATTAATGTTATGTTTCTGTCTCTATTTTCTTAGCATAGGCATTTATATTAACTCTAAAGTAATAGGTGGTAGATTTAGGTGATATTTAGTTTGTCATGAAGGTCAAAGACCTTCCCAAGTGGGCTGAAGGACCAGAAGCTAGCAGACATGGTCCACAATCTGTCATGGATAATAGAAAAGGCAGTTTAGATGTTTAATAAAGTAAACAGTTAATGGTATATCAAAAGGCTATCCCCACCCGGAGGGTGGATAGTCTGTCAATGAATTTAAGTTCTTCTCTTTCATGACAACAGTATTTTCAAAATACTATTTATTAATGAATAAAAAAAAATCAATTCTGTCTCAAGACAAATATTATACTTTTAAAGTAATGAATCTATAAAAAAAAGATTCAAAATCTGAAGTACAGTCATCTATTTAAAAGCACTCGTTTTTTTTTTAATTCATTGCACCTTTTGTGTGTGATCCTGTGTGTTCTATCAGAAGTGCCTTAACAGGTAAATAGAATAGACTATATTATATTAGAGAAACTAGTAACTAGAATTAATTATTTACTTAAATAGCTGAGAGTTTGTTAAAATTACCAAAACATAAAAGCTACGATACAAAACTATAACAAAAAATGCAAGATATGTAGAATTTGCTTGTTTCTCTCATTAAACTAAACAACACGAGGAAATGGAAAGAAGTAAACAATGCACAAATGTTAAAAGTTTCATTGTTCAAAAAGTACAGTTTAATAATGTACACAAGATAACGAAAGTCTTGAAGTCGTGTTTCAGAAGAGATTTTATATTAAAGCTCGTCATGTCTCATTAAAGCTTCTCCAAAATCAGTGGCCTGGCTTCCAACAAAGAGGTCATATTTTTCCAGAATCTCATCTTTTGTTAGCTTCTGGTCCTGTAGTAGAAGAAAATAAAACAAGTTTTTTTTTTACATAAAGATCGCACACAAATACAATGAAACTTTAAAGCTGATAAAAGTATCAAGTACCCTATGGATGAAGAGAAAAATTAAAGTTATAATTTTTATGTATTTGGAATGATATGTTGTCTACCAAGATGACAAAAAAAAAGAATCATTTTCTGTTCTCTCACCGAGACTAAAACGATTAATGTAACAAAATTATTCGACCAAGAAACCCACAATATAGACAGCGATACCAAACTTGCTAAGAAGAACACTTTCACAACTCTCATTCACAATGAATACCTGTAGCACTCTGTGTCAAAGATCTCTTTTAAAAACATATAGAGGACAAGCAAACAGCATAAGGTCAGTTTGGTACTCAGAAACCACGATAAATACGATCATTACAGTCATGTTAAGCAACCACTAGCAACATCTGTATCAGAAGCAAGAAACAGATCCAAGATCATTAGCACCATGGATGAAGCATGATTTTTAATCCCATGAGCACAGGAAGGGTTAAAGGCCATGACCTTGTATAGAGTGTCATCCACCCATGAATTTGATGTCAAAGTTGTACACTATTCATTTTGTGACAGTTTGTGGTAGACGAGAGTAAATACCACATACAACACGGGTACAGCAAAACACCGTAGATATGCATATCGGACGCATATTACAAATACAATACGAAAACAATGGAATTCGGAACTTAGTCAACATTACTTCCCCAATACAAGGTCGGTCCATGGACGGACCTCATGCACATTTGATTAATTGCATCATTACAGCCCACTACCCAACAAGGATTTTTTATTATTATTAAAAGAAATACAAAGCTAATATTCTTATTAAGTTAAAAATTAAGAAAAATATTTCACATATAGCCCTAACTGACATATCACAAAATGGAAGTGTGGCCTAAACAATCATACATCATTAAAAGCACACTTTATGGAACCATAAACATTACAGTAATGATTAACTTGTATTTTATTTCCCAAATAGTCTTAAGCCGATTTTTTTGTTCATGATTAGTCTTCGACATGTTTAGGATTGCGACATAGTTCTGACTAGTTTGAAGATACATTTATAGATAAGTTAGGTAGAGTATTTATGATGAACAAAGTTGAAATGGGCAGCAACTGGCTAGTTCAGGGATACTCGAGGAGAAGGTCTTGGAGGACAAATCTACACAAGTAACCCGAGATGTAAGAATGATGTTTCGATAGACTTCTGTCAGCTGTACACATATTTTTGTACAGAGCGCTTTAGAAATGTTTTTTTTCAATCTAATAAGTTACTTAATTGAGAAGTTGCTATAGTTTCGAAGTTGTTGACACACTTTAGTGTTACTTGTATGTTAACTTAAACCTGATGGTTCGCTCAAAATAACCGAGCCATGTATGAAAATGGAAAACTAATGATCTCACACATTATTTTTCTTGTTCAATTTTCCAAAGAGAAGCTTCAGAGGCAGCTTAAAAATTCTGTAATTTGTCTGAGTCAAATTATCTAGAATCTATATTTATTATCATATATAATAATACTTTTTTCGTCCTTTATAATGTGATATTTTCACAGTACACTAAACCAACGTAATAACTTTACTGCATGATCCAGACTAACAACGTTACGGTATTGTTGTACATACTCTTCAACCTTAATATATCATTCAATTTGCAGAGAAAAGAAAAAATCTATTAGACAATAACAAAATTATCCTAACTAAGAAAATATTTAATTTAATATTTGAGATTTAACATGAATATTTGAAAATTGTTAACAGGGTAGAAACAAGATACCTTGTTTGAATCCGATTCTAAAATGAGATGACGAGCCTCGGTTTCGCTATGGTCATAGTCTGGAGGTAGTATCCAATCTTTAATTTCTTCTTTATCCATGAAACCATCTTTATCTTTGTCTCGAAAATTCATAAACTGGTCTCGTTCATCCTTTACCCAATCAGGTTCGCCTTCATTCACTCCTGTTCCACCATATATATCACCTGGGAAAACACAGAATCTATAAATTCAAATATGTGCAAAAGCAGTGATTTCATTCAGAAACGAGAAGATCAAGAGGTTTGTCTGTTAGGGACTCTAATTACACTGTTAAAGACTTTTGTAGAAATAATAGGACTAGAACTTGTTTGTCTGGTAAAGAACATTTCAGATTATGTTGCCGCTATAAATAACTTTTTGTAGTAAATGGAAGTTGGAAAATGTAAATTAGAATAACTGTTTACAGTGTAAGGAATTCCTTCAGAAACTCATGGATAGAAAGAGACAAACTGGACTCAGGAATGAGTTACTTAGCAGTAACCATGGCTTAAAAAACAGATTACCAGGATCTGTGGGATAGTTTTCAGGAGAAGAGTGAATTACATGCTAGAGATGGGTTCCACTTAACCAGGCTAGATAGAACTTGTTTGGGAAGCTCTACAGATATTAATTGAACTTAACTTGCAGAGTGATGATAGAGCTTTTAAAATGGTGAATGAACAAACTAATAAGATAGTTAGGGCTGAGATAGAACATTTAGAGCATAACAATTTAACTAAGAGTTTTAAAGATACGTCTGTCAGATTTAGAGATAACATAGTAGATTGTATCGAGAACAAAATGGATGAGTTCAAGGCTCTAGTTGAAATAGAAAACTAAGATACAAAGGGAGTTATTGAAACTTGGTTAGATTTGGAGAACAATGATAATAGGAATTATTTTGACACAATTTAAAACTTATAATTTTGTTTCACAATTTTTATGCTTATCCCAAAGTATACGTCCATATTTACTCAGACCCCGTCTTATCTCGTAAACACTTATCCATGTTGTCATGTATCAAGTGAATTCCTTTGTCTCTCAGTGATTACTTCAAGAACCCTGTGTTGATAGTGTTACTCTTACCTAAATGAATAATGGGACTTAGTTTTTGTGGTAAAATAAAACAGGAACTCCCAGATTCATGGTCTGAATACCACAACAACTGGGCCATGAAGTAATTTGGAAGTTTTGTTATTGCTGGTACATCTCTAGTGTTAGAGCTTGGCAATTAGCAGAAATTGATAATTGATTAATCATCAATCAATTACATTCAATTAATCAATCATTTTTGCATGAGACTTAAGATAGTTGGAATAATGAGAAAGATTAGTTTTGTTAAGTTGATTATTTTTGTGACATTAATCATAGTTTTGATTAGTCGATTATTCTACAAGATTAAACGATATAATTAATGCTCTGGGTAATCAATAATAACCACTAATAAAGTTAATTACCCAGTTATATAATACAATTATGTAAACCTAAATACCAATGTACTCTTCAAGTGAAACTTTCCCATCTTTATCCTTATCAACATCTTCCAATGTCTCTTGAATCATTACGTCCTGCATGTGTTTGGCTTCTTCAGGATGAAGGAAATCTGCAAATTCCTTTTCATTCAATGCATCATCGCCATCACTATCTGCTGCTTTCCAACGCCGCTTGTCTCTTGCAATCATGTCTTTGTAAGATAAACCTTCCGAGTCACTTTCATCCATGTTCTCTAGATCTTACAACACAATAAGATAATAGTCATCTATTTAGTTAACGTCTAACTTATAGAAGGCAGTGCCTTCCTGAAAATTACAAGTTCACACTTCACTTACTAAGTGTAACTCAAGTATATCATAATTTAGGTAAATTATTATTCTTTTCTGTTTGCGCTATTACTACACAAGTTGTTGTCTGTTCAGGTTTGGTTATTTCATTAATCATTATTACGTGTTCCACCTAGAAGTTAATATTTCATGTGAAGAACTTCTGGGACTAACCAATCATAGCAGAGCTAAATGTTTCTGTAGGTAGTCTTGTAAACATTTTATTGTAAATAGTACTAGACAAGCCTCATTCTCACATAAAAAAACATGAAACACTGTTATGAACATTTGTTTTTACCAACAAATGTCAGTAAAATAATCAACATTTTTTTACCCTGAAATGTATGAGGTGGGTCACGAATGACCAATGTACCCACACTGTTGGTTTAAAAGTGGGTCACAAATGACTAATGTACCCACATTGCTGGTTTAAAAGTGGTTCACAAATGACTAATATACCCACATTGCTGGTTTAAAAGTGGGTTACAAATGACTAATGTACCCACACTGCTGGTTTAAAAGTGGGTTACAAATGACTAATGTACCCACATTGCTGGTTTAAAATTGAAGATGGATTTTTATCAAACTTGACCAACTCGTCAACTAAACCTTCTTGGTAAACTACACCACATTATTGTATGGTAATACTGAAAGAAGGGAAATGAGTTACTAGCAGGCAAGGTTTTATATATATGTTAAGATTTGCAGCATAGAAAGTGTCATGAACACAATGAAAACTTGAACATTACTCCTACTTTCAAAATGCAAAAGATTTTCACTGTGTCCTACCTCTAAAGCCAGCATATCACATGCCAAATGTACTAGATCTACCTACTCTGTACATAAACACCCACAAGGAAAACAACTGTTTGTGCTAACTGTAGTTTACAGCTATCATTCCACCAAAAAAGGCAATGCATGTTTGTTGATGGTACAGTAATTCTGGACATTTCTGCTAATGATGTCCTACTTGAGTTCTGTTACATTTAATAAAAGAAACGTACACATAAGTGTGGTCTAAATATCTTTTACTTTGGCAAGTCACTAGTGACCTACGTTGAATTGAATTACTTCGTGTATTCCAAGTATTTATGAGAAAGCACATTTGTTTCGAATATACAATTTGTTTTTCTGTGACAATATAAATTTCAGTTTATACAGGAACCAGCGTAAAACTGTAATACCATCTGTAAACCCGTAGGTGACTTTCCTGTAATCTTCCCATCTCAGGACCTCTTTTTTGTCAGGATTGTGAGATTTCCACTGTTGATCAATATCATCTAGAATATAATGCTTCTTTACGAGCTGAATCCAATCCTGGAGCTCTTTCTGAGTGACAAACCCATCCTGGAAAGAAAAAATGTTAAAGAAAAACAAATGAAAAAAAAAATATATAACCACGTTCATCCAATCAAACTTCGAAAGAAAACTACAATCAAAACCATACTATGTAAATCATTTCACAAGCTGAAATTTGTTTAAACACATTTGATGCTTAAAATTATCATTCCAATATTAAAGTCTGTATTATCAATATTTTCATTCCACCACTCAAAATACCCACAGGAAGACAACCAAATCCCTAACAATTTTAAAGCCTGAATGACCCCCCCCTCCAGTGTAAATAAGTGGAAAACTCCAAGCTTCTTATAATAGTTCAAATAACATAAACCACGATTCATTCCAGTAGCACACCTCTGCACTCTTTCCATCATGCTGATATTCTTCACACAGGTCTCCGAATAATGTCTTAGAAAAAGGCTATAAATTAACTCCTTATTCATAAATCTGGAAGAGGACTTATGAATTTTATTGATAATACAACCTACATATAAATCTTATTTGTCCACACAGCATGGTCAATAACTTTACATTTCTTACCCTTATAACTCATCTTCCACATACTAAAACTAGGACAATTTGATATTTTAATATTTCTGATTGGCACAGAAAAAATAGGGCTAAAATCAGGAATGTTTTGTAACTCTAATTAAAACCTATTTACTAAACCTGTCAAGGTTTTTTTGGATAATCTCAAATAAACTGGTTTTTATCAACTGATCACTACATCCATTGCTGCCAACCCTAAATATTCATCAACCGTCAGGAGAGTTATGTAATAAATATCCATGTAGAAGTCCCACGTCATATGAGTTTAAAACCATGTAGAAGTACCACGTCATATGAGTTTAAAACCATATAGAAGTACCATGTCATATGAGTTTAAAACCATGTAGAAGTACCACGTCATATGAGTTTAAAACCATGTAGAAGTACCACATCGTACGAGTTTAAAACCATGTAGAAGTACCACGTCATATGGGTTTAAAAAAAATAAAACTTCCTCAACTTGTGATATGTTTGACCTTTTAAAACTACCTGACCTCGTTTTACTGTCCTCGGAATTCAACATAAGAAATATCTTATCAATTCCCTAAATATTTTTAAACTACCAGTGACCCTTAAAACATTTGTCGTTAAACTAGTATCTTTACTGCAACAGTACTTCTTTACAGGATTTCTAGAATAATACAAAAGAACTCTAATTTCAGACACCAAAATCGATAAGTCCACTTGTCTTGGGCCTAACTTTAGTTAAGCCTTTATTAAGTTCAGCCTGTATTCAATAAAGAGATAAATTAACATTGTAACTTGTGTACATTTTTTGCTTTAATTTAGTTAGGGCTAAACTTTAACGTACCTTATAAAGTCATTCTACAACCTACTGTTAGAACTTTTTAAAAACTTTGATAAACTTTTAATACGTTGTTGTACAAAATGTCTACTAAAGTATAATCACATCCACTGTTTGTTTACATCTGTTGAAATGAAGTGCACATTTACATAGCAAGGTGTGTGCACATTTTCAGGACAGACAAAAACCGAGTATTATTAAAATATTTACTTCAATTATATCATTCCTTGTTACTTTTTTTACAGTTAATTTATACATAAAACCTTTTGAGTTTGATGCTTTTTGAGTCAAGAAATATTCACTGTCCCTATTACCAACATTCTCTATCTGATAACTTCAAGTTCTCAAATATACACATTCTTTGATAATTAGAAGTTTAATTCCTCCATCAATTTAGGATTTTTATTTTATTTTTGAAACAATTGGTACAGATATTTTCTATACTACTTTGATTGAACTAACAAAAATATCACAAGTTTCGTTAACCTTCTTCCATTTACATTAACCACCCAATCTATTGTTCTTTAAATATTCATGGTTTTGGAAGTAGGTAGGTTTCAACAGATCTTTTAATATGTTTGTTAGACATTTATAACACACTGCCCATAAATTTCAGGATCTCAGTGGTTTTCTTAAAGCTTACAGATATAGTAAGACCTATTCATTAAGTGTTTAAAAACAACTAAAATACAGCAGAGATCTTTCAATATGTTTGTTAGACATTTATGATAAACAAATTTTCTTTGGGAATTCAATAAATACGGTGTCACTATATTAGTTCGTGTTCACTTAAAAATACCATAGAAATTTCCTGTCTTGTGAGTGAAAAGGTTATAATTATACTAGTAGTAATTTCATTTATTCTTTAGTTTCTCAGTAAGTAAACATTTTTATTTCTGTAATTTTAATTTCTTGAATTCATCAAATCCTTTTTTTAAAGGCTTTTTTTTTCATTTTTTGGGGGATTGTAATGAACAAGAAAGATCAATAGTCTGTAAAATTTGGGTAATATATTACAGTAATTTTATTTTAATGTTGATATTAATTAGGTTTTGATTTGAAAAATTAATAATAAGATAATTTATTTTGGGACCCGATTTTTTCTAAATAATCTTGAAAAGTTTTTTAAAAAAAAAGTCAATTGAAAAATAAAATTTGTGTATTTTAGTTTTAAACTTAAATTTATTACATCATAAAAAAAAGTGTTTTTCTATAGTTTTTATACTAGGAGTACCTGTTAATCTAGAATACTAGTTAAATGAAGAAGAGTTTTATATATAAATCTGGTGTGTAATGATTTCATGAACAGTTGCTATTCACATACATTATCTTTGTCTATTTTATCAACTATTTCTCCAAGTCGCCGCTTACTCTCTTCTGGGGGAAGATCTTCAAAGGTTTTGGCTTCATCTTGCCCTAGGAAAGCTTCATGATCATAATCCACGTTGTGTCCAGTGTCATCTTCATAGTGTTGCTCATCACTGAGAGGCTGTAAAATATACATTCAATACAACATCATAATCATCTTATAAAAACTTCACTAGGATAATTGTAATGAAGCTTGTTGCACAAAAATGATAGTGGCCATGTTATGTTTTGTAAACTGAATAACCAATTAAGTAAACACAACACACAGAAAAAAAACAAAATATCAGTACATGAGCATTCAGTATAGATAACATACTTTTTCCATAAAATTTTAACATATTTAAAACAAACAAGCCAGTGCTTTTATGTTTTTAAAAAATAAAATATGACTCTACACTATTCAACAAGATGACTAAGAGCTTTAAATTATTTGTATGCACAACAGGAGAATGTACAAAATCTTTGGGACACAGACTCCAAATCTTTCAGAAGTCTGAAGGGTTGGTAGTACATTTGAAAGTATCTACATGCATGTATGCAGGCCTGAGGAATCACAAAAATAGACTCTTTACGTCCTGCTAATTTCTAAAATGGAAGAAATGCACTTTGCTTTATATTAAAACAAAATTTATATATAATTACATATATACATCAATGACATTTATAAAGATCCTTGGTTTACTACACTGCATACAGATTCTGTAAAGTGAGTTTGTAATGTTTAAAATACTTGTGTTACTGCCAACAAAGATGTATGA